GTAAGTAAAAATGTTGTCACTTCTAAGTTGAAGCCTGTAAGAAGAGTCTGCAATTCTCCATACTACCTCTTTTCCCTTTCCCAGAAGTTATGGTTTGGATATGAGACCTCCTCACAAAAGCTCATGTGCGAGACAATGTAGGAATATTCAGAAGCCAAGTGATTCCATCATGAGAGACATGACTTAATCAGGGAATTAATCCACTTGATGGATTAATAATTTGAATGGATTACTGCATGGTAATTGTAGGTAGGTGGGGAGTGGCTAGAGAAGGAGGTCACTGAGGGCATGTCCTTCGGGGTTACATTTTGTTCCTGGCTTCTCTCTCTCTGTGCTTACTGGCTGCCATAATCGGAGCAGCTTTCCACCACAACACCTTTCTTCCAGGATGTATTCACTCATCTCAGATCCAGAATGATGGAGTTGGCTGACCATGGACTGAACTTCCAAAACCATGAGCCCAAAATGAACTTTCCTCCTCTAAGTTGTTCTTGTCAGGTATTTTGGTCACAGTGATGAAAAAGCTAATACCAAGCGCCATGTTGGCCAAGAGGACCTATTATCCTAGGTCTTTGACAGATGTCATGGACTAGCGCTCTGCAGTCATCCAGAATGGACAAAATATAAGCAAGATATAATTGTTTACTGTACTGTTACTATGATATTAGTGTTACCTATTAATAATCAGAGCCTCATCCTCTAACACATTTAATAGATATTTTTCTGGGAAATAATGAGTAAAAGGATTGTTTGGGGGACAAGATAAAACAAACATCTGTTAAATTTACAAAAATGGTTACGTTCCAAAAGTTCATACTGAATCAGTTACTGAAAATGAGCAAATTTCCCCCCCACCCATAGGTTCATCTTATAAAGGAATGACAAAGCTTATTTAACCAATGATTTACATGGAAACAAGCAGAAAACAATAATTCTATTACAGTCATTAAAAGAATATAAAACAAGCAGATATAAACTTACAGTTATTATGAAGTATAATTATATATGCAAACATGTAGACACTTTCAATTATTTTACAGAAGTTGAAGGTGTAGTTCTGTAGTATATCTTTTTTCAAAAGCTAAAGTAAAAGACATGAACATTTGAAAGAGCTTACCCAAAGTTGAAATCTGATGACTTGTGAGCAAGAATGAGATGGAAAAGAAGTGAGCATGATGACAGGAGTGAGTGTGGAACCTACCTTCTAGTTTTCAAGTAGGTTCAAAGTTGTCAGGAGTTCATGGTGAATACTAGTTACTCACATAACAAAAGGGCTGAGCCGAAATCAACTTCCTCTTTGCTTTTAATAATTATTCAAGTCACAACGTTGTTTTTTTTTTTTTTTTCAGTTTTCTAGAAATTTTTCATGGGTGTTCATATGTGTACTGTTATTTGGCCATTTGTCTATTTTACTTACCAAAGAAAAATAAATCAAGAATTTATTTAAAGCTAACCATAAAATGTCTCCCAATAATTTTGCTTTCAGTTTTTATAAATCAGCCTAAGAACAGAGATGAAAACTTTTAAGATCATCCATCTCTAGTTAGGTCATGAAGGGTTAGAACAATACCAACTTTTTACTCTCCCCAGTATATAAGAGCTGGTGCCCTAGGAATCCAAAATATTCCAAAGAAAATGATGAAGAAACACTGTAAAAAAAAAAAAAGTGACTACAAAAGAGGTAAAGGTTTTCAGATGTACTTACTCAAAGCTTCCTCATTTCCCTACTACTTGAAGAATACAAGATTATCACTTCTCAGTAACAGATTAAACTTGCTGTATTTTATGTATTTGTTGAAAGATAAGCTTTTTTTCAACTTTTATTTACTTATTTGACAATATTTTAAGAGGTAAAGGTTAAGAAAAAACTCCTGAGTCCTAAACTCATGCTTCTATCTGTCCACTGAACACCTTTGCCTCAGATGTCTCTAACACGTCTCACATTAAATTTATTACTGTCTTGCTCAAACCACCTCTTTCATACTTTTGCATATCTGTTCCTGGCACTAGTGTTCTAATAGTTGTTGATTTTATGATGTCTTTTTCCATCATTCCTACATCTAAACATTACCTATGGCATTCTCCCTGCCATATCTCTCTCTTCTGCCCTTTCCTTTTACTTCACACTTGACAATACTACCTCTGCTCTAATTGAGGTTTTTGGTTTTTTTTTTGCTTCTTGTCTTGTTTACTACAGCATGCTATTGATCTCATTTTCAGACTCTAGTTCTAGTCCACCCCACAGAATGTCAGATTAATTTTCTAGACTCAGTTCTGATTAAAACCTATCTGCCATGATGCCCACCATCAGCTATATTAAGTATAACTTTTAAGCAATACTTGAAACTTTATATAATCTCACATGATTATGAGCATAAACCCATTTCAAGTCTATCTCTCACTTTTTACTGTCATATTCTATGCTAAAGTTGAAATGGCAACTTAAATCATACTGACTGAGTCATAATGACTTAGTTTTAATTATGCCTTAGGTAATGTTGATTGATTTATTTGAAATATTTTCTAAAGTCTCTCATTATTTTGTAAATATCACCCTATTAAAACGACTAATTTTTTGGTATACATTTCAGATGGCACCTTATATGGCACACCCATACATGAATTTTCTTCCATTTGAATTCCAGTTATCTACAGGTTGAAAAACATTTATGGTGCTTAGCACTGTATTTGCCACGGTAGGTTATCAACATTTTACTAAGTTAAATTGAATGTGCACACAGGAAAGTACAAATAAAGCTACCTTATTTATCAACTAAGGTTTAATATCTTATCAGAAGGGTATTTGTACTCATAGAAATATGAATGAGCATGGTGGAATATAAATGATGGTGGAATGTGATGATCATTATTATCCAAAATATATGTATGAAGACATGAATTGGTGTGAATATACTTTGTATACAACCAGAGATATGAAAAATTGTGCTCTATATGTATAATAAGAATTGTAATGCATTCCTCTTGTCATATATATAAAAAAATTAATGAGCAACATTTATAGAATGCCTGTTTCAATATCAAATAATGATAATGATAATGATGATGTTGATAAGAAAAATGACAATAACATCTAACATTTATTAGGAAATACTGTAAGTCAGGTCATAAGTGCTCTTCATGCAATAGCTCATTTAAACTAAAGAACTCTAAGTTTTATATAATTATTATCCCTATTTTTAGGAATGAAAAACCAAGTCACAAATAGTTTGGCTAACTTGCCCAAGGTCACATGGTTAGAAGTAATTAGTTACAATTCTAATATGAGTATGACTCCGGAAATTGAGCTCTAAAAGAAAGAATATTGGACATTATATCTTATATCCCCAAATTTACTACCTGTTTCACAAATTATGAAATGAGTATCATGTGAGTAATTTCCCAAAAATCTTTCTTAAATCATTTGTTTTATCATATATTATAAAGCAAATGTTTCATAAAAGTAGAAGACTAGATATTGAATAAACTATTATGGGGTATGAATTCTTGCAGGACAATGACCATAACTTATTTATTTGCATAGACTGTGAATCTGATCTAATATTTGGTACATAGTTATGTCAGTGTAATAGTCTGAGTGTGAGGTGTCCCCAAAAAGCACATGTGTGAGACAATACAAAAAAGTTTAGAGGAGAAACTTTAAGAGCCTTAATCCAATCAGTGAAATGATCCCATGATGTAACTGAGTGGACACTAAAGGTAGGGTGTGGCTGGATGAGGTGGATCATTGAGGGCATGCCTTTGAGATATACATTTCGTATCTGGTGAGTGGAGTCTCTCTTTCTCTGCTGTCTGATCATCACATGAGCTGCTTCCCTCTGCCATGATGTTCTGTCTTACCTCAAGGCCTGAGGAATAGAGCCAGTTGTTGGGCTAAGACCTCAAATAAACTTTTCCTCTTCTACAATTGTTAGAGTCAGATCTTGTAGTCAAAACAGCAAAAAAGCTGACTAAATGGTCAGATTTATGATAAATTGTCATATGAATTCAATTCAAGGCCAATCAAATTTACTTTTAAAACTCCTTTCCCCAGATATCTATATTGCCTTGACTCCCTCAGAGGCAATTTTTGAAAGTGTTCCTCAACAGATTATGTTCCAAAATGTGTAACATTCTTTGCAATGCTTGAATATATGGAGAACACATGGGTGAAATGTTGAATATATTGAATATATGGATGAAATGCTAAAAGACAAGTTAGAATTATTTGCTTTCTGGTTAAGAAAGACAATGGCATTTGCAGGAAGAGGAAAAAGCAAATGGACAGCCACTTAGGTATAGCAAAGCTTGTCTGAGAACTCTTAAGTGCCTCCGTATGACCACAATATAAAGGCAGAGAGTAGCAGAAGCCTCTGAAGACAGCTGTAGGTAGACTGTAAAAGTGTTTTAATGCTCTGCTAAGGCTAACCTTATGTTAAGAGCACCAAAGCATTAAGTCTTGAACCCATCCTTATTCAAGATATCTTGTTAGTAGCTAAAACAGAATAACTTAAGTACTTAAGTTAAATATTCAAAATAAATGAATCCTCCAATACAACATTTTTCTAATTCACGCTATACAAAAATACCCCTTTTAACTTAATGGCAAAGAATTTCTGTAAATGTGTATGTTTGCAAGTAGTATCTGAAAAATATAGCAGAAAATAAGAATTTAATTGATATCTGCTTTTTAAGACATCCTGAAGAGAAAAATCTATTTTCCTTTTTGTTTCCCTGGGAGCACTAATAATATACTTTCATTTTGGTTCAATATGGGCTAATGAAACAAAAGAGTCAAAAGTTCCTATTTCATTTCATTCCACAATATCACAGAAATTCTGGCACAGATAATTTTTCATTTATTCTGCTTATTTTTTTATTCAGTTTCTAATCGAAGAACATATACAGAAATCTTTCTGTTCAGAGGCTTTTCTACATAGAACTCAATTTTCCAATGATGTTGGGAATCCTAAGAAGTAGTCATTAATTCTTAAAAAGCATACCTAGGAGTGCAGTGAGTTTTGGAAGAAGTCCAACTTGTACCATCTTATTCCTCAGTCCTGTGTCAAAGGACAGGTTTAGTAAAAGCCGGAGGGTGATATTCAGGAGATCTTCATGTTCACAAGGTATCATTTTTACAAGTTTTTCAACAATATCCATTTCCACCTGAGTAAAATAATATGCAGTGAGGGTCTATTGCAAAATAGGATGAAAAAGATTACAAATAATTATTTTGGGGTTTAACCTAACATATCTCTATTTAAAAAATAGGTATGTATTAATCTTATATTTTCATTTCAATCTATAAACTTTCCTGATATCAAACGTTTAAAGAGAAAATTTAGAGTCCTATATCATCCCTTCTTTCCCTCATTTGACTGCATTAATTGATGGATTGAAAACACTGCCTAACTGAACACCACCCACTATGTACCAGGCCCTGTACCAGATCAAACAAGACCTCATCTTGGCCTTCAAGGATTCCTTGATCTAAAGAGTAGGCAAATAGAACAAACAATGAAGATGCAGTGTGATAAAAACTGAAAGCATAAAGTGCTCCAGAAGCAACATGGAAGAAGCTACTAGTCTACCTAGAAGAAAAAAATTTGGCTTCAAATTTGGAACAAGTCTTAAAAAATGGGACAGAGTTTGTTCTCTGGTTGAGAAGAATGGCAATACAGGTTGAGAAAAAGCCAGTGGACAAGCATTTAGTGTAAGAACTTGTTTAGAGAGTTGCAAGTGCTTTGGCATAATCATAGTTATGAAGCATGTATTGAGGACTGGCAGAAGCTTAAAAACAGATCTTGGATCATAGAGGCTTGCAATGCTCTGCTGGGGGTTTCACACCATTCTGTAAGTAGCAAAAGTTCCTCATGATCTCAAACTAAAGGGATGACATGGTCAGACTATTTCCTAGGCAGGGGACACTCCTGAAATCCAAGTACCCCACATCAGCCAGGGCCAGCCTTGCAAGTAGTCTTATTAGTAATAGAAGCCTTAGGATCCTTTTCTGCAGAGTCAGTAATACAGATGCAAAAACAGGTCTAGGACAAGGAGGACAAAAAGTTATTTTAATTTTTGTCATGTTTAATTTGAGGAGATATTCATTGGACATTTGGAAATCTTAAGAAACTCAGAAAAGAAGCAAGGCTACAAGTAATACCTAAAATTTGGAATGGATCAGCAGACCACAGCTAATGGAATTCATCTGGCCTGCCATCTGTTTTCACACAACCTGAGATTAAGAATGGTTTTGGTTTTTACATTTATTTTCCTTACTTATTTTTGTGGTACTGAGGATTAAACCCATAGCCTCATGCATGCAAGCTCTTTACACTGAGTTACGCATCCAGCCTGTTAAATTTTTAAATAATAGAAAAAAATTGAGAACATTTCATGACACATGAAAATTATATAAAATTTAAATTTCCATAAATAAAGTTTTATTGGAACACAGCCATGTTCATTAGTTTATAGACTGTTTATGGTTGCTTTCATGCTTAACAACAGAGTTGAGCAGCTATAGCAGAGACCTTTGGATCTGCAAATCTTAAAATATTTAAAGGAATTTGCTGATCCTAGCTCTACAAGATTATGAAATTGTATCAAGAGATCTTGCATTAGAATGAAAAATTACAGAGGGCATTACCAACTATTTATTTGGTAATGGAAATCCTGAACTTAGATTTTTTTTTAAGGTAATAATCAGAAAAATTTGGTTATAAAAACATCTTATGTCTTTTAACTTCAAAGCAAGAGTAAAAAAGGAAAGAAATTCTATATAAGTTCAAATTTTTGTATCATAACAAGAGAATTTATGAATAATGTTATTCTACTTTTCCTTTTATTAGAGATCTAAACATTTATTTATACTGTCCTTTCCATATCTTTATTGCAATCTTTCACTTACCTCATAAAAATCACATTAGTGATTGAGCTTTTACTATACTTTTCTCCTTTCACTTCATGCCAAGGAATGAATACAAAATTTTTAAAAACTGCTAAATTGACAACTAACATCTGACTTTTCCTTCATACTTCTATGTAAACCACACAGTAACCCTGTAGCCATATTTTTCATTAGAGTACAAACCAAACCAAAAAATTTCCAAAAACAAAAAATGAAACTAAAAGCTCTTTTAAAATGGAATGGAAAGGAAAAAAATATAGAATAGCCAGAATAATTTTGAACAAGAATAACGTTGGAGGCTTCACATTGCCTGATTTCAAATATAAAGTTTCAGTAATCAAAAAAAAAAAAAAAAAGTTTTATTGATAGAAAGCAAAACATAACTAATTAAAAAGTTTTTTTTCAAATATTTCTTTTAATTGTACATGTATGCAATACCTTTATTTTTTTTTTTTTAATTTGTATGTGGTGCTAAGGATTGAACCCAGTGCCTCACATGCGCAAGGGGAGTACTCTACCACTGAGCTACAACCCTAGCCCCCATTAAAAAGTTTTTTAAAATGCTGGATTTCACCAATATTAAACACTCACAGGAGAATGAAAAGACATGCCACAAGAAAGGCTTGTAAAACATGTAACTGATAAAAGACTTATGTCCAAAATATAGAAAAAATTCCCAAAAGTTTTTAGAAAATAAGAACATAAGGAACTAAGCAGCATATATACACTCTTGTTGTTCCTTTTAAGATCATATTCTAATATGATTTATTACCTTTATGTTATATTACACTAATAATAAACTATAAAAACACAATTATATTAATATTACATAAGAAATATGATAATTCTGATATGTCAAGATTATTGTACTGTCATGTGTAATTAATTAAAACAAATTAAAAAAAAAGAATGACATACAGATAAGAGAGATGCTTCAGAAAACACAAACGTGATATATAAATACACAGAGGTAAAAAACAGCATGACTTATTTGAGAGTTTGTGTTACTGAGAAAATAAGTTCTTGGGGAGCAATAAAATAATGAGTGAGAGAATTTGTAAAGTTCCATGTGATGAAAGACCTTGTAAACTTTGTTTAATAATTTTCATCTTAATCTAGAGGCTATAGGGAGCTAGAAAGGAATTTCAACAAGGAAACTGCAAGAATTTTAAGGAGATCACTGTATCATTAGGATTTAGCAGCAGGAATGCAATTGGAGAAACTAGTTATAATGTCACCACAGTAATATAAACATTCTAACTTAAGAAAGTACTAGTGTGTGCGTTATTTCGGAATTTACATTGTAGTTAAGAGGTAGAATGGATAGAACTTCGAAATTAATTGAATATGAGTACTGATGTATCAGAATCAAGAAAGATTCATATTTCTGATTTATGGGTCTGAAAGACATGGCAGAAAAAAGAGAAATATGATAATTCAATTGAAACCACTAGTTGAAAGATTGTTTTAAATAAACCAAACTTATTTTAAAATATATTTCTAAAATTCAAGGTCAGTATTCGTTCACATCAGAAGAAAAAAGAACACTTCAATTAAATAAATAATATAACCTCACATATAGATCAGCCATCCCCCATTCTTTTTTTAAATAAAATTGCCACCAGCTGTTACTAATTAGGCAATATTTTCTTTTGAAAAAGCAATAGCATATGTAAGTACTGTATAACAAAACACAATAAAATATCCTGATGAGTTTCTTATTAATTTTCATTTCCACTGCATACTATGGAATGTAAAGCATGGGCTGTTGGTCAATAGATGGTAAAACTCTTATATTTAACACAGCCTACTAGACATGTCTTTTTTGGTTGATGAAAAAAAACTCAAGAGCTAAATTTAGCAACTGTCTCAACATGCAATACCCTTTCAATTCTATTCCTAAAAACTACAATTTATAGTTAATTAACATTTTTATAAAATGTTCCATGCAAAGTGACAGTTTAGCAATAATCTATCAGCAAGTTGACTTCCGCCTTTAAGTGTACTCTTCTCAGTCGTTCAGGAAGCCAACATTCAAAAACTGCTTATTATTAATCTTGCTAAAAATGTCTTTAAAAACAACACAGAAGAAGACTTTAAAAAATTTGCCCAGGAGGCAAAAAAGAATATGAAACAGAGAATCTAGAAATTTGTTTCCTTAAGTAAATTAAGTATTGCCTCTAATCTTCTGATAGTTCATCTGCAAAAACAGAGGCTAAAGTCACTAAATCTAGCCATGTGAGTATGGTGCAGTTGAGTGCTAAAAATCCTGTTTCCATAAGATGCCTTTCTTCCATAATAAAAATGAAACGTATAGCATGCTTAATAAAAATCTGGCTATCAAATACTTCTCCTGACTTTGGGTGAATAATTAACTGTTTGAAACCTCAGTTTTTCCTCTTCAGTAAAAATAAAATAAAATAAGTTTTGATGAGATGATTTATATCTTCCAACCTCACTAGAAAATAATTTTAATAATCATCTTGAGATCTTTTTTGATAGAATGAGCTCAGAATTGCAATACTTGGGTTGGGGATGTGGCTCAAGCGGTAGCATGCTCCCCTGGCATGCGTGCAGCCCGGGTTCGATCCTCAGCACCACATACAAAGATGTTGTATCTGCTGAAAACTAAAAAATAAATATTAAAAAATTCTCTCTCTCTCTCTTTAAAAAAAAATAAAGAAGTGCAATACTTTAATATAAATCTAATACACATAGCAGACACATGCTGATGGTAAAGAAATTTGAATTTTGAGAAACTACTAATCTAAATACTTAGATTAATCTACATTAATCTAAATACACAAATGAAAGAATGCATTTCAACTTAAAGTGAGAGGAAGCAATTGCTAAGCCACAAAACCTAACTACTTAGGAGTATATTTATCAATATGTCATCATATTCTTCTCTGATATAAGGTCAGTGAAAACAAAAAACATGTTTTTGATTAATCTCTTTAGGTACACACATTCTCAAAACAATAGAAAGTATATAATTCATCACAAGAATTATATATTAATGATAAAAACACATTCAATACATCAAGGTAAAATAAAATTTCATATATTCAACAGTCACAATTCAAGGCACTTATTGAATTTGATAAATCAGCTTCAGGCTTTCAATGAGCATGGCATGACACTTAATATAACAAAAGCAATTTCCTAGTTCTTTTTGTTTTAAGAGAAGAAAAAAGAATAGGCAGAAATACTAAATATTTAGATGGATTATTTGAAGGAAAAATGACTTTTACCAGTCACATAATGACACATAATTCTAAAAATGGTTCTCAATGGAGTTAAGGCCATTCCTAGTTATCTACTCTAAGAAAGTAATCAGAAATATAGATAAGAAATGTATATACAAATATGTACACTGAAGTGTTATTTATGATGCCTAAAATTATAAACAACTTAAGTATCTAAAAACAACGTATGGTGAATGTGTAATCTATTTTAATATAATAAGTGTCAATAATGACTTTTTAACGTTGTGGGAAAAAAGCAGGTAAGAATTTTTTTTCTATCATTAGGGCTGTGGATATATTTCAGACATAGACCTTTTGCCTGGCATGCATTAAGAAAGTGGGTTCAATCCCCAGCAACACAACCAAAAAAAAAAGAAAAAAAATATACCTTTATATATTTACACATTATGTATACAGAATTAGAAATAATACATGCTCAACTTGTACTTCATAAAGACAATCATATCAACACAATACAAAAAGGCAAATAGAAGCCTAATGTAATAATGCAAACAAGAAATGAAGAGGAATGAATTAAGAGGGTAGGAACTAATTCAATAGCACAGGGAACTATAAGGAAGGAATAGCTTCCAGAGATACTTAAGAAGCAAAATCAACAGGTTGTAGCTACTAATTGTAATGGTGGGTAACAAAGAAGAGATTATGCTAAACTATAATTCCACATACTAATATCAGAAATGCAGAAGGCAAAATATTTAAGGAAAAATAAGATCAGATGAACCTGAAATACAATTTTAAGTTTAAACTACTTTCTATATATTATATTTACTATGACAAGATATATTCTATATATTAGAAAATATTTTTAAACAGAAAGCTTTAATTATCTGGAATATGAAGCCATTTCAGTGAGTTATTGCTATTGAAATATTTATTCAGAATTTCAGAATTACCTTAATAAGGGTAAAAATTTTTATTTATTTTTTTAAACTTTTTTAAAAATATTTTTTAAGTTGTTGATGAACCTTTATTTTATTCATTTACTTATATGTGGTGCTGAGAATCGAGCCCAGTGCCTCACACATGCCAGGCAAATGCGCTACCACTGAGCCACAACCTCAGCCCACAAAAATGTTTATTTTTTAACCAAAATATCCTAACTTGAAATGGCTAACATCAACTATCAAGAAGGAGCTTTGTAAGTTACCATATCATTTTTATTCTCCATAAAAATGCTCAGTTTCTTTAAGAATGACACAACTAGAATAAGCAGCTCAAAATTGTCCCGATCAAGAGCCTTCACCAACATGTGAACTATATTCTTATTCCTCATCTTCAGTTCTGTTCGAGTATCCTCAGCAAGATTCAGAAGCAAATAAAGAGCAACTACAAAAGTAAAACAGATGAGAGTTAAATGCTTGGCATATTTAATCAACAATTAAAAATAGGTAATATAAAATTATAACATTAGTAATTGGCTCACTAGAAAAAATGTATTATTATTGAATGAGGCATAAATCTTATATAAAATATATAGATAAGATAGATAAATAACAAAGTGACATTGATATCTATTTTCTTGGAGCTTAGAGTTTAATAGTAATGAAACAGCAATTAAAGGTATTTAAGTCAGCAGATACTAAAACAAGACAGGAAAAATATTTTTAGATACATAAAAAAGAAGGTAATACATCAAAACTTCAACAATTAAGTCTGTTTGTATTTAAGAAATTAATCCAAAATAACATAACATAATGCTTGTTTGTACCATGTAGGGATATGAAAACCGGTTTTGCATATTCAAACTGGTTTTCTATTTGTCACCATAGGGAAAGGTACATGAAATTCAGTAATATGACTATTATCCTAGATAGAATTGAGGTCAATGTCTACTAGTTCTATGTAAAATTTCTTTTAGCTCCCATAATAAAAACGCTTAGGTTCTCAAAAGGAAACTGATGATTGTTTTCTTCTAATAGTGAAAATATGTAACATAACATTTTTTCATTTTGCTTTGTTGACAGGGAGCTTCTGAGTTAAGATATAAAAGGTTCTGTCAGAATTATGTAAGTTATTCAGTAGTCTTTTTGCTCTCTTACAGTCTTGATGTTACTCATTATTTTAGTATTTCATTTAATTTGTAAACCACTTCAAATCTAACTGAGGCTGGGGTCAGAATCAAATGAGAGAATTAGAAGAAAAAGCATATGATATTTACACCAGGCTAGAAATAATGCTTGTTTGTACCAAGCATACTGAAAATCTCATAATTTATGGGGTAATAGAATCACTGGGAAAGTCTTGCCTCAATAATGGGGAATAATTAATTTTAAACTAAAGCATGCTGCTTATGTCCAGACTAACAAAATTATTAGAACAAGGTCTAATTTTTTTCTAAGTAATTCAATTTATGTCCTAAAAGAGATTGCAAATGTTTACAGGAATAAAAAAATTTACAACACCCAACAACCTAGATTTCACACTAACAGCCAAAGATTACCATTTATTCAAAGAAGCAGGAAAATACAACCTATTGGTATTTTTAAAAAGCCATGGAAACTGTCCTAGAATTGACAAAAACATCAGGATTATTAAATGGGAACACTCAAAGTTAAATAATTGTATTCTGGATCTTCTAAAAGTTAGGTGAAGATGTGGGAGATAAAAAAAAATTCAAACTTTCTAGCAATGAAAACTATAATGCTTGAGATTATAAACTAGATGCCATTAACCTGTAATTTAGAGCTGGAAGAAAAGATCAATGAAATTGAAGAAATAATCATAAACTATCAAAAATTAAACATATAGGAGGAAAACAGCAAAAACATAAAGAGTATGAGAGAACTATGGCAACTTCAAGTGGTCTAATAATTTTGTAATTGAAGTTCCTAAAGAAGTAGAGGAAAACTTTCAAATTTAATGAAAACTATAAACCCAGGTTCCAATAACTCACTGAACTCCAAGAAAAAGAAACACGAAGAAGATTACACCAAGGTACATTATAATCAAATTGTCTAAAACAAATGATAAAAAGAGAATCTTAAAAGCAGCCAGAGGAAAAGAAATCTTACAAAAATGGGATAACAGTAGGCATCTCATCAAAAACAATGCAAGCAAGGCAACAGTGAAGTAGAGAGAACGCAACGCCTTCAATCTAGAATTTGAAACCAAGTTAAAATATTTCAAAAAAGAATAAAGTCTTTCTTAAATGTACAAAAGATAAAGTAAATCATCATCAGTACATGTGTCCTACATAAATTTTTAAAGGCAATCCCAGAGGCAAAAATAAAATGACACCAGACAGAAATACATTATCAAAACAAAGGAATAAGATCAGTGGAAACTAGAGACATAAATACACAATATTATTTTCTTTTTTTTTTTTTTAATTTAGGGCTGGAGATGGACAGTATGCCTTTATTTTATTTGTTTATTTTTTTATGTGGTGCTAAGGTTCTAACTCATTGCCTGACACATGCTAGGCAAGCGCTCTGCCACTGAGATACAACCACAGCCCAAGATTATTTTCTTATGATTCAATTATCTTTAAAATAAAATTGACTATAAAATAATGCATTCTATGATTTATAATATAAATATAATAAATGTTAACAATAGAAAAAAGGCAGGAAACGAAAAATGGTTCTAACAAACATAAAATAGGATAATATTACTTGACAGCAGACTTAACTAATGTAAGTTAAAGATGTATGTTCAAGATAGACAACTTATAATTAAAGATGTGTAATACAAACCTTAAAGCAATCAATAAAATTACAAAAGATTAAGAGCTAAGTCAACAATGGGGATAAAATGGAATTTTAAAAACCCTCAATCCACAAGAAAACAGATAAGGAAAAATGGAGAAATATGCACACCTATGCTTTTATGCACACGTGCACACACACACACACACACATCAAGACCTAACCACATGCTGTTGATAATAAGGACATGTTAGAAATGAAAATGAGGGACCAATATATACTATGCCAATACAAGTCATAAATAGGCCAGAGAGGCTATATTAATATATAAAAGAGTAAATTTCAGACCCAAGAATATTACCACTTATAATGAAGAACATCCAAAAAGATAATAAGGACAGCTTATAAGGAGTATATTACAAATATGTTTTTATATTCTCAAGAACAGAGACTTAAAATATATGGAGTGAAAATTGATAGAACCTCAGGAGAAATAGACAAATGCAGAACTACAATGATATTTTAGTATTACTCCCCCAATAATTAATAGAGAAGGAACAGGAAAAATCAACAAGATGTAAAGACTTGATATCACTGTTAACCAATTTTATCTGACCACCATTTATAGAAAGTTCCATCCAAAAACAGTAGAATGTACAATCAAGTGCACATGCGACTTTTGCTTAAAAAAAAAAAAAAAATTCTAGACCATAAAGTGAGTGTTAATAAGTTTAGAAGAATGTAAGTCACACAAAGCATTTTCTCTGGTAACAATGGAATTAAATTAAATATCACCAACACAAAGAGATCTGAAAAGTCCCCCAAAACAAAATATATGTAAAGCAAACATTACTCCCTTTTGAATAAGTTATGAGTCAAAGAATAAACCAAAATGGTAATTGGAAAGGATTTGGAATTGAATGAAAATGAAAACAGCACATATCAAAATGTGTGGGATGCTGTCAAAGCAGTGCTTTGAGTGATATTTACAGCTCTAAATGTCTGCATTATAGTACAAAGGTCTTAGATGAATGACCCCAGTTTCTACCTTAAAAAACAAAATAAGAGCAAATTAAACACAAAGTAAGCTGAAGAAGGGAAATAATGAAGATTAAAATAAAATTCAATAAAATAGAAAAACAAACAGAAAAATCAACGAAAATATACTAAATGGAATTAACACTTTGTAGATTACTATATGCTGCTGGTAATAAACTACACCCAAGTAATGAGCAGAACAGGATACAAAGCAAAAAGAGGCATGCACACATATATATGAATGAGCTTGGCAAAGACAGAAACCAGTTCAGTAAAGGATAGTCTTTTGAACAAACAGTGTTGAGTAACTAGAGAGTCATACACAAAAATAAAGAAATGTGATCCATTCCTCATGCCATATACAAAAACTAACTCAAAATGTATTACATACTTGACTGCAAATCCTGAAACTATAAAACTTCTAGAACAAAATAGGAGAAAAATGTTAATTTTTGGTTAGGAAAATATCTCCTAGATACAATACCAAAATCATGAACAATAAAACATTAAAAAACTTGTACTTCATAAAAATTAAAAATTCTGCTTTTCAAAGATATTATTAGGAGAATATAAAATTAAATCAAACTGAGAGAAAATCTTTGAATGTATCACCTGTTTGATAAAGGTTTGCATCCAAAAAACATATAAAGAAATAAAGAATCCAATTAAGAAAATAGTCAAAAGATATGAAAAGATACTTCAACAAAGATAAGGAGATGGCAGATCAGCACATATGAAGAGATGTTCAATATAATAAGGAAGGAAGTCCAAATCAAAACCACAATAAGATACCATATTCCAAATATTTAAAATTAGCTAAAATTAATATGATTGACCATATCAATCATTGACAATGTAAAACAACTGGAACTCACATAAACCACGGTGGGAACATAAAGTGATGTGTGGAAAACCATTTGGCAATTTCCTATAAAGTTATACATACACCTTTAACATGATCCAGCCAAATCACCAGTTACGTATTTAAACAAGTAAAAAAAAATGAAATCTGTCCATACAAAGATTTGTAGATGAATGTTCACACCAGCATTGTAATTGCCAAAAATTGGATATATTCCAAATGATATCAACAAGTAAACACAAAGAAATATAATTCAAAAATAAGAGAGAATAAAATACTGATAAATCTGACAACATGGATGAATCTTTATGCTCACCAAAATAAGACAAAAAAGATATATACTATATGATTCCATTTATAAAGAATTCTAGAAAAGGTAAATTCAACCAAAGTGGGAGAAAGCAGATCAGTGATTATCTGGAAATCAGGGTGAAGGGAGAAGGAAAGAGATGATTACAAGGATACATGAAGAAACTTCAGGAGTAATGGATACGTTCTTTACCTTGTGGTCATAGTTGCACATTTACTTACATATATTAAAATTTACCAAAATGTATACTTTAAAATTATATACTTTAATGTTTATCAATTATACTTCAAAAAAGCTGTTTAAGAGAACATAAAATACTTGCATTAGTAAAATATTTGGTTAGGAACAAAGCTTAAAGTTTTACATGTTAAAAAAATCAATGTAGTGCTTTGAGAGTATGACATGTAAACAACTGGATTTGTTTAGATCTGACGCATTTCGGGTTATATACTGACATTTGTCATATGTATTATTTTCTAGACTGTTTAAAATTAACTTTGAAAATCTGGCTTTTTCTTCAATAGGTGGAGCTAAATTAAACTACTCAACTTCAAATACTTTCAGTACAGTTAAAAGTGCTAATAATTTTCAGGGACTCAAAATTTTGGGGGAGTTCACAATATTTCCATGCACAAAGTTAACAGCCATATAAAAACCAGAAAATGAATGCATTCTTCAAAGATCAAGATCATTCTCACTAACCATCATAAGATTTTGCATCTCACTAATGACTGCAAAACCATGTCATTTAAATTTTACATCTCTTAATAAAGCTTAGAAATAAGGATATTTGCTATCAAACAAGAGAAATATTTTGCAAGTTTCTGCATCATTTTTCTAGGAATGCAATCAAATAATTCATTTGATTAAACAAATTAAGAGTTTGAGGGATAAAGATTCTCATTGAAAAGGTCACACACCGAATTAAAATACACTAAGGGGCTAAACTGTGAAAAACAGTATAGTGAACTTTAAAATACTATTATTCATACTAAGGACAGAAGAACTTGAAGCATATTAAAAGTTATAGAATTTCTCATTATTCTGGTATTAGTTCACTGGTAGGACATAAATGGAACAAAACAAATTAGAGTAAGCTCTCTGTTGCTTTACCAGTTGCTTAGAAATTCATACCTCGTAGTAGCTGTTCTTGTTTTACCACAAGCCCTTGGTATTTTTTAAAAGTTTTTTCATAATCCTTTCTCAAGGTTTGATTTTCAAGGTCTTCATCAAGTAAAAACTAAGTTAAGGATCATATATATTAACCAAAGCAAAGACAACCTATTGAAAAATACCTAGAAGAATACTATTAATATTTTATATGCAACTTTAGTTATTTTCTCTAACCAACAGTTTAACTAAAATGTTGTTTTCTGCCCAATATTTGTGCTATTAACAGGACACCTTAGTCCAGTATTCAAGGTTTTCCTCAGATTCCTTTGAATCAGGAAATATTTGAATTTCACCAAATACTTGAATTCCTAGAAATTAGGTGTAAATGTTTTAGGTAAGTTGCCAACTCTATAACTTTCAAATGATTATCAAGGGCTTCCATGCCAAGATTATTGCCTTGCAGAAAATGATTTAGTTACTAAGAATACTAGATTTTACTTCAAATAGATGCCCAAAATGGATTCAAAGAATGCAGATTAAATCTAAAGCTCTATGCACCCTCTTCAGATTAGAGATGCCAAGAGAAAAACATTCCAATGAAAAAGGTCCACTTTTTCCACAAAGGGGAGTTAAAAAATGTATGCTATTCTGTAAAATAGGAATAATGTTTTTATTTTTTAAAAGATATCAATAAAAATTGGATTAAAAGGAATGTTATGAGCATGACTTGTTAATCTATAAAACGTCACATTAGGATAGATATGAATAAGCCAGCCTTCAATCTATAAAAATTAAATTGTCTAAGAAATATGACATGTATTTTTAAATAAGAGGAGAATTGTAATGTTAAAAAGAATATTCTATATTACTTCAGCAGATAATAGTTAAAGGGATGGAAGTTATTTGGAGATGGACTTTGGTTCATTAAGTGAAGGAACATTATAATAAATAGAATTCCAAACCACATAATGGGTTAAACCAATAGGCAATAACATTGTTAAGACTATATAATTATTTTTCAAGTTAACTGTAGAAAATATTGTAATATGGTAATGTAAGTTAAAACATAATTTCTGAGGTTTGTTTCACAGGTTCTATCATTCTATAAGCTTCTCAAATTTGTATTTATTAAGAACAGTATTTTGCACCAGGTATGGTAGCACATGCCTATAATCCAAGCAACTTGTAGGATGAGGCAGGGAGATTGCAAGTTCAAGGCCACCCTCAACATCTTAAAGACCCTCAGCAACTTAGTGAGACCCTATTTCAAAATAAAAAGGACTGGGGATGTGACTCCATGGTAAATTGTCTCTGGGTTTAATCCCTAGTAACAAAAAAACAAAAACAGTATTTTTGCACTTAACTAGAAAAACATAATTTAATAGAAAAACAGAACGTTAAATTAAGTTCATTACACAATTCACATCAATTCCCATTAAAGTCTTCTTTGTATTTGAATAGAAGTACAAGAGCAACAATGGTGACCCATGCTTCAGCTGACCAATGGATCTTAGCAGACATAATGAGGCTACTTAGAGTCTCGCCTATTCAGTTATCCTGAACTACTACTGGCTTCTTCCTTCCATTTCATTAACTAATCCAAGTTCAGAAGAGGAAAAATGCTTATGTCAAACTGTATTTATTCTGATACTCTGAATCTTTATCTTAACCATCAACATACTTTTGAATGGTTTCCAAGCAATGTGATAAGTAATAATAATAATAATAATAATAAAAGAACAAAACAAAACCATCTTTATCAATAGGCAGCATAGGTCAAAATGAGACTCTGAAAGGATATCAGCTTTCTTCTTCTTGGAAAGTTCTTCTTGCCAAAGCTCATGTCTTTTTAACTCATGATCAATGATGTTCATACATAGAGCTCCAATTTTATAGTGAGTTATAAGTCCATGAAACTGAGAAAAGCTTTTAAGAAGAGATTTTAGTATGTATTTAAAGGAATATATTTGATCCATGAAATTTGGTTTCAGCAAACACTGGCACAAATCATATACATTTCAATAAATGAATATGTCTCTAATATACTAGGAAGATTTGGAATTGCCAGATATATATAAAAGATTACTTTAAATATATTTTAATATACTACCCTCACCATACATTTTAAGAAGTTAAGAATCAAATAAAATTTTTATAATTAAGCACAAAAGGGGCTAGGATGTGCTCAGCAGTAGAGTGCTGGTCCAGCACGTGTGAGGCCCTGGGTTCAATACTCAGCACCACATAAAATAAATAAATAAATAAAATAAAGGTAGTGTGTCCAACTACTTCTAAAAAATAAATGTTTTTAAAAAAATAATTAAGCACAAAAATATTAACTACTTGGATAGTCTCAGAATAAATTTTCAAACTACTAATAAAGTTGATAATGTACCATACTAGACAGGTTATATTCATTGTTTGAATAAATTGTAACAGAATAAATTAATAAAATACTAGCAATTTAGTTTTACATGTTTCCTAGACAATTAATTCATCCAAATAATTTATTCTATAAATATTTATTTGCTAATTCAGGCATTTTAGAATGGAGGCAAGCAATTTTCTAGGAATTGCAAGAAATTTTTCATGATGTCTTAACAAACATTTTTCTTCAGAATATTTGTGTGTAAATGCAATGTTATTCAGCCATAAAAATAATAAAATCCTGTCATTTGTGGTGACATGGATGGAAGTGGAGGACACTACGATAAGTGTCCAAGTTAGTACAGAAAGACAAATACTGTAACTCTTTATCCTATTTAGAAGACAAAAAAGTTGATTTCATAGAAGCATACAGTTACATGGGAGAATAAATTCTAATGTTCTACAACATAGTGGGATGACTATATCTGACAACAATTTACAATCTATTTTATAAAGGACTAGAATGAAGAAGTTCAAAGTCTCAATACAAAGAAATGATAAAAACTTAAAGAAAAATATACTAATTGACCTGATTGGATATTATACATTGTATACAAATATCTCATCACACTCTATCCCATAAATATGTACAAAATTGATAAAAAATAAAATTGAGATTTAAAAATATATGATAAAAATGAGATACATAATATATACGTACTTGTATTTGCACATATATATGTATATATAACAAAAACATTTACTGAGCACTTACTCTGGATCAGACTTTATTAAGAATTGTAGTTCTTACTCATCTAAAACTAAAAACTATCTGAAAAGGCTACCACTATTACTATTCAAATTTTACACAAGAGGAAACTGAGGCACAATTAAGTAATCACATTCACACAGTTAATAAATAGTAGGCTTGGATTCAAATGTTAAACTCTACTGTTAAACCCTAAACCATTATACTAACCCATTGGGTGTGTGTGCTGGCATGGGTAAGTACAGACTAAATGAAGAGATAACTGAGAGCAAAACAGAAAAGGAAAGAGAGGGAACAAAAGGAAAGAGCATAGGAAAATATACAGAAAGACCCAGAGAACCTATAATCTACAAACTGACGCAGACAAATAGCAATGGAGATAGACCAGCCTTTTATTTTATAAGTTTTATACTTACCTAGAAAAGCAAAAAAAGATGTAAATTATGTTTGTAGCTAATTCAACGCTTTGCTTCCAGTCTTCTCTCAGGACTCTTGCCAACGCACCAAGGGCAGTTTCTAAAGAAAAAGGAGACATACAAAGATAATCATTTCCCTTGCCTCTAGTATAAAGGGTGACTGGTTTTAAATGTTGACTCATGAATAAATTACAAAGCTAAGCTAAAACTGGGACAAAAAAGTAAGATACTTCTTTCCAATACAGAAAGCTATTTTAAAAATTATAATATAAACTTTCACTTAAAAACTTATAATGAACAGCTTCAAGTCTATACTATAAATAAGTTAAATATGGTTTAAAGTAACATAATATTATGGTGACAATAAAATAATAAAAAGGGCCATTCATCTCTTAATTTGCATTTCCACTTGGAATCTTACTACTCTGGTACCAATTTTTTTCTAACATCTTATTTAATGTATAAGGGAAAAATTAAAATAAATCTAGAAAAAATAATAACATTTTGGTGTTAGCAGACTAACACTAGCTCCATAAAGTAAATTAATCAAATAAAATTTTACAGAAAAAATGTCTATTTCAGTATCACCTGCCAACAGCCATAAGCAAACAAATATTTTTCAAAAATTAGATCCCACATGTTAATGAGCATCTCTGCTAAATTTTTTATCTAAAGGAAAGTAAAATTAATGATTTGATAAATGAAAATTACATATATTAAGTAAATATAAAGTAATGACTTTGGTTTTACATTGCCAAAAATTGTCTTACCAATTTTTAAAAATTTTATTAAACTAAAATACTTGTATGTTTATGTCATAATCCAACTGTCTTTAATAAGTACTCAGGATCTATTGTACTTCATGGACAGAATTATCAGTATTTATTATCGTTATAAAAAGGTTCAGTTTTTTTCCCACTTTCTGGCTATTCAGATTATGAAACATAAATTAACTGTATTTATTAACAGGAATAAAAAGTGGGAACACTAAAATAGATCCATGAATACATGGGTACAGTATTTGTTTTAATCCACTTAGTGGAGGATATTTTAGACAACTAAAAAACATCCTACAATAGCATTTCACAATATTATTCACATTCACAATGTAGAACACTGAAATAATGTATATTTTAAACAAAATTATTATAATGTCAAACAAGTAGAAAAGCAGTGCATATCAATATGCAAAAAATCCCCCCAAAGTCCTACTTAATAAAGAATCTGGTAATTCCCAAAGGAATTCTATATTCTATATTTTAATTATATTTCCACATTCTATAATGTAAATTTAGCTATAGGTTTAGTGATTTATTTGCCTAATTTTATATCATTCTTCTCCTTTAATATAGGATGATGTCAACAAATACATAGCTACAGGAATTCAATACATGTTATCAAGAAATAGCCAAAAGAAATCATAAAGGTCAAAATGTAACCAAAAATTTATCTATAAGTTGAAAACAATTTCAATCAAAATGCCATTATGTTTTTCCACAGAATACATAAATGTATCTCAAAATTATACATTAGTCAAATGTACAACACTGACAGAGCAAGTTTTTAAGGAAAAAAAAAGGCAAATTAGAGCATTTTTCTTACATATTCTAAAACTGTAGTTAAAATATAAAACAAAAAAGCAGCAACAACAAACAGGATTATATTGGTTTGGAACTCATCAAATAGACCATGGGAATAAATATGGGAACACTAAAATAGATCCATGAATATATGGGTATAGTATTTGGCAAATAATAACTTTTCAAGAATAAGTTTTCAAAAAGCATCAATTCCATAGAAGAATGGTAGGCATATAGTAAAAAAGACATTTTGAATACGGGGAAAGGAAAGAGCATTCACTAACTAGGTTGGAATAAGTGGCTATTCCAATATGGAAAAAAGTAAAATTACATCCCTAACTCATCATTTTTAACAAAAATGAATTTAAGGCACGTTCAGAATGGCAAACTACCTCCCAAAATCTACTCCTCCATGATCAAATAAGAAATCTGGCAAAAACTGTCAAAATCAACTTTTTTCAAAACCATGGGAATTAACTAAAAACAACTCACAGAAAAAACAACTCACAGGCTGAATATTGGTAAGAAGAATGAGTTTCGTGGCAATTCAACTTACCCTAATTCTATCCTTCTGTCTAGCTTTGTGTTCCTTGAAAACCAGTAGTATCACAACTACAAGAACTATAAAAGCCAGCAGAATAGCCTGGCAAGACCTACAGGGAAGAGGAGCCTGAGGCTCCATTGCAGAGAACTATCACCAACCCACCTATCTGGATACTTGCTGAAAAACTCCATTCTTGGGGTGTATCTTAAAACTCAGGATAATTGTCAAACACTATTGTTGGTAACATAACAAAGGCCTGAGGTAGCCTCATATCAGCTTTCTTTTTTAAAAAACAGGATTAACAAAAGGTTCACCAAAAAACTTAAAAAAGGAAAAATGAGAAATCAGATATTCATAGGAATTTAAAAAGCTCCAATATATCCCTGGGAATCTAGAAGGCAATGCATAGGTGCAGGGTTGTACATTTACCAGGGAAAGACCTAAAGGCCCTCATCTCTCATATCTGGCTAAACCCGAGACAAGGTGCAAAAGCAGGAAGTAAAGAAAAATTTTTAAACAACCTGCTTGAGCATTAAAGACATGCCCCAAAATACAGAGAATCCCTTAGCAAAGGCTCAGAGACTTATTGCCAAATGTTCAAGGAACTCTGTCCAAACATTGGCTGGCCACTAAGCTAACTGAGGAGAAATTTCAGTGGACATACAGGCAAAGGATATTGACTTTATAAAATCAATCCACATAACTCAGTAAACAGACAAACAGCATCAATAACAACCACTAGTGATAGTGAGAATTTGATTTCCAAAGTTGTTATAATGATATTATTTCAACAGCAACAAGGCAAAGAAACAGAACAGTGTGGACCATACTCAGAAAATAAAGTATTCACAAGAAACTGTACATGAGGAAGCAAAGATGTTGAATTTATGAGACAAAGACTTTAAGTCAGCTACTATAATTATATACGAAACACTAAAGTAAATCATGGCTGAGTAATAAAGTGTATAAAGATATAAGAATGATGTTTCACCAAAGATACAAATTATTAAAAAAAGAGCCAAATAGAAATTCTCTGGTTGAAAATAAAATAATTGAAATGACAAATTAATTAAGAAGGTCTCAACAGCAGATATGAACCAGAAAGAAAAAAGATCTGTAAAGACAGATCAACTTAGATAATTCAGTCTGAGGAAAAGAATGAAGAAAAAATAAATGGCCTCAAAGACCTAGGGAGCACCTCAAAGCTTAATAACATACATAATGGGAATCCCAAGGGCAGAGAAGAGAAAAAGGCAGAATGAATAGTTAGTAAAATAATGACCGAAACTTGATTTTTGTGGAAAAATATTAATCTGAACCTTCAAAAAGTTCAACAATCTCCAAGTAAGATAAATGCAAAGTCAACAACAACAAACACTCAATAAAGTACATCAGAGTCAAACTGGTAAGAATGAATGCAAAGAGAATGCTGAAAGTAGCAAAAGAAAAGCAATCTAGTATATACATGGAATCCTCAAAAAGATCACAGCTGACTTTCTATCAGAAACCATACACACATGTAGGCAAATGGGATAATATAAAGAGGTAAAAGAACTCCTATCAACTGAAAATTCTATATAACACAAATCTATCCTTCAAAAAACTAATAAAATTAAGTTACTATAAGGTCAACAAAAACTTAAAGAGAATTTATAACTAGCAGACCTTATCTACAAGAAATACGAAGGGAATCCCTTCAAACTGAAATGAAAGAACACTGTATAGTAACTTAAATCTACAAAAAGAAATGCATACAATGATAATTATATAATTGTGTTGATGGATTTATATAGATATGTAATTTGTATGGCTAAATAGTACAGAGGAGTAAGGAGGAAAAAGTCAGAATGGCAGCTACCAAGAATATAAACAACAATAAGAGTTGGCAAGGATGTGGGGAAAAAGGCACACTCACACTTTGCTGTGGGACTGCAAATTGGTACAGCCAATCTGGAAAGTAATATGGAGATTCCTGGGAAAACTTGGAATAGAACCATCATTTGACCCAGCTATCACACTCCTCTGCTTATAATCAAAGGACTTAAAAACAGCATACTACAGGGACACAGCTATATCAATGGACAACTCACAATAGCTAAATTGTGGAACCAACCCAGATGGGAAACTTTGGTATATATACATAATGAAACATCACTCAGCATTAAAAAAGAATAAAATGGCATTTGCAGGTAAATGGATGGAGTTGGAGAATATAACGCTAAGTGATGAAAGCCAATCCCCCAAAACCAAAGACCAAATGTTTTCTTTGATATGAGGATGCTGACTCATAATGGGGATGGGGAGCATGGAAGGAATGTAGGAACTTTAGATAGGGCAAAGGGGAGGGAGGTGCAGGGAGGGTACAAGGGGGTAGGAATGATGGTGGAATTAGTTATACATCACTACCCTAAGTACATGTATGAAGACATGAATGGTGTGAAAATACTTTGTGTACAGTGACTTGAAAAATTGTGCTTTATATGTGTAACATGAAATGAATTGTACTCTGCCATCATGTATAACAAATTAGAATAATTTAATAAAAAAGAATTATATAGAAAATAAATAAAAAATGTTAGATTCAATTCCTAACTTATAAGTTAATTACATTAATCTTAAATAGACTAAACACTTTGATGGATAAAAATGAATAAAAAAACATAATTCAACCATATGCTACCTGAAATAGAAATACTTTAGACTCAAAGACACACATGGTGTGCAAGTAGAGGTATGGAAAAAAGATATACCATGGGAAATAGACAAGTAATAGATTGAGAGACAGTAGAGAAACAGACAAGTAACAGAAAGAGAAACAGAAAAGTAATAGAAAGTGAGAAAATATTCCTAAATACATTAAAAAGTATTACAGGGGCTGGGGTTTTAGAGCACTTGCCTAGTGCATAGGAGGCACTGGGTTTGATCCTCAGCACCACATTAAAAAAATAAACATATAAAATAAAGTTATTAAAAGAAGTACTAGAATTCAGAATGTAAATATTTAAGACATGAAAATCGTGTGTGTGTACACATGCATGTCTATGCATGTACATAATACTTAATATATGAATATAAACTTTAGAGGTAGAATTGTTTTGCAATAATTTTTCTATTTTTAATGTTTAAATGTTTATAGACATAAATCACCATTTAATAGTAGTTCTTCCAAGTTATCAGGATTTCTAGCAAGCTGGAGTATCAAAGCAGAACCCCGAACTTTGTCAGGAATATCTTCATATAATAATTCAATATACTCATCCATGTCATTAATGTTAGCAACTTCATCAATCTGAAACAAAATAAGAGGCAGAAAGGCTTAATAATAATGCTCAACAGATTAACTGCTAAAATACTGATATTTTGGGATCACTATACTACCCTTTATAACCAGAAACCAATTTCTAAAGACTTCATAGTAGCTATCTTCTTTTTAGATAGGGATTTTAAGCCTTTGGGTTCTAGGACTCTAAAACCGAAGTGTAACAATGAGAAAATGTGATGTATATAAACTCTGAAATTTGTCAGTAAAGTATTTTAATGTAATACAAAGTTATTTGTATCTACTATAAAAGAATAAATAATATTTCAAAACCCTGCAATAAGAATAATCTAAACACTTTTACTACTTATTTTAACAAAATAATGTTTAAAACACACAACCAATAATTTTCAGTATCAATTAAATATCAATTTTCTACCTTTCTCAGATACCTCTAAGTTCAATCATTTTTTTAAAATTCCACATCAGATTAATGTGATTATATGCATTATTAATGGTAAAAGGCAATATTTTACAAGCAGTCCTTTATTAGATCAGAATTCATACACTCTTACCTCCATTCCTTCAAAAGGAGGTGGATCTTTAGGCTTGCTTGATTTTTCTTTTTTTTCTGCAAAAAGATTTTTTTTAATGAGGAGAGTTAGGTTTTTAGGGTTTCTGGGTAATTTTATTTTCAACAGCTGAGTTTGATTCTAGTTAAACTGGGGATATTAATTGATGAAACTTATCTCTTTTCAATGTATAAAAATGCTCATCTATTATCCATCCATCTGTTCTAATGATAATATCAAGGAGAGTATAAACTAATAAATTCTATAATCCCAAAGTTATGTTGGGCAACAATTTTAATTTTCTTCTTGGTTAACTTTTTGGGTATGTGCTCAGCAAGACTTATTAACAAGAAGCACAATAGTTAATTCTAATTATCCTCTTTTTCCCTTCCTTATTCAAATTTAAGGTGGAAATAGTTGAATTAATAAGGCAAAGAAAAAGATAATAGATAATATAAAAAAACTGAGTAATGTTAAAACTAAAATAAAAACTAACAAGGGTGAAGAATAAGAAATGATAGGTCAAATTTCAAGTTAAAATAATGTATAGTTATTCCCAAATAAAGAGGTATCTAAAGGTGAATTAATCAAAAACATAAATTTCATTTCTGAAAAAAAAATCTATAAAACTTTTGCAATCTGGTACAAAACCTAAGTAATACATGTTACAGTGAGTTAAATTAGAAAAATACAAAAATTTGATTCTATAATAATTAACAACTAAATATACATATAATAGAATTAGCTCATTATTTTCAGAGGATAGGAGGCATTCTAGAGTGATGAATCTCAACAGCTAAATTTTGTCTCAAACAGTGGTTTCAATTAGCAAAGAAAAAAATCCCTTAAGGTGACAAATCACATGATCAATTATTATTGCTTTGATTTAAGTCACTTTTTGGAAAAAGGCTTCTGGCTTTGAAATATTGAATACCAAGTAAAATTGTTAATATTTTAAAAATAAGTATACATTAATATAGTAAAGCATTTTGTCTAAACAGAGAAAATAATGATTTTAATATTTTTGTCCATGTATGACTATACAAAATATTTTCATATTCTTTTAATTTTGGGGAGAGAAGGAGAAAATCTGATTCATCCTGAAAACTCAGTGATAAAGTTTTCACTAGTTTAAAGATGTTTTAGCAAAAATTCCTTTAGAATTATATGAATTTGCCACTTTGAAAGATCAAATTTAACTATTATTGTATAACCCACAATAAATACACACAGATCTTAAAACATTACCAGATTTGCTGTGCTCACTTTGAATTTAATTGAAGATGCCATTTCTCATCATTTATAAACATCTTAATTAGAGTACCTTTTAGATAATATTTATTTAATAAAATTTGCATTGACATTTTCTTATCTATATAACACCTCTTAATAATTAAAAAAGTATATACACTGAGTATTTACTATGGGATTGGAAGTAATCAAGTTCATAATGCCTATTTTTGCTTTTAAATAAATGTATAGCCATTCAATTCATTTGACAAATATATAGTGAGCATTTAATATGTATTAGATGGTGTATTTAGGGCTAAATAATAAAATTATATATTAGGCACAAGGCATTTTATTTGCTGGGAAATAAATAATGCTGAGAAAAAAATACTAATTTGGAAAAAGTCAAAACAAAATTTTTATTTATTTTTCTATACAACCCAGTCAAAATTTGGACACTGACATGTTATTTTAGAAGCATCATATTTTAGAACCCATCAATGTTGAAAGATATGTAAATTTAGTAAATACTGTGAAATGGTATTACTAAGCATTCAGTAATCTGAGATACTGTTCACTGAAATAAAGTTTTACTTTGTTTTCTGGATGATTATTTGAAAATGTCTTCTGTAAGAATTTTCTAGCTGTAATACCTTAATTCTATGGTTCTTTTATATGAAGGAATTGAACATACAACAATATAGGGGTTGAAGAATGAAAAAAAAAGATTATATTTCCATTAAGAAGATTTATTTATAAAAGTTACATCTTTAGGATAGTCTAAAGCACATGACATATGCTTTTTTTAAAATTTACATACTTAAATAATTCATTCAAATTATAAATTAAACATCAATTAAGAAATTTTAAAAATATTGTCTAGTTGGGATGGGAAAAAATTGGTTTCTTCCTTAAATTATCTTCTTTTATTATTCTACAGTCAATCTGACAGATTCCTTTTTTATTCCTTATTTCAGTGTACTTCAGTACAAAAACAATGAAATAGGTCAGATAATTTTATGTGGAAGCAATAAAAACTGGCTTAAAGGAAAGTAATGCTTGTTTATTCTCTCATTTGCTTACTTGTTCACAGTACTAGTTTAAAAAAAAAAAAAAAAAACAACCTTACCCAACATTCATCTATGTGAAGTCTAAACTCTAGTCAAACAACTTTGGTTTTAAATTTAAAAATCAGGAATTCCTGGGATAGGGTTGTGGCTCAGTGGCAGAATATCTGCCTGGCTTTGTGAGGTCCTGGGTTCTATCCCCAGCACCACACACAAAAAAATAAGGAATTCTCCTACCTACCTTTTCCTGACAATGAATCACGGCGGTTCTGCAGATAGTATAACAGTTGTTCCACCTCATTGAGTTTTGAGGGATGAATGAGCTTGCATTCTTCAACCACCTTCCGAGCCAGAGAAGTTATATCTGTGTTGGCATTGAGACTCTTCAGACGAATGCTGCAAGCACATTCAAATTCTAACTCAGATATTCTAAAGTATGTGACAGATTCAATAACACTACTCTAAAATGGTTTACAGATTTTAAGAGAGTCAATACGTACCTGGCCATAGAATCTCAGTAAAATAAATAAAGTCCTATATAGGAAAAACACTAAACAGGGATTTTCTTTGAGCTGGACAGGCAAAGTAAAAAAGCAACATAAATCTTCTTCTGTTGAGGCAGGACAGAACCTTCTGAGGTTCTATTTTAAAGCAGCATTTCTGATGTAAAATTCATAGTCTTAAGTCATTATTGGATTTGAGAATCCATACTGCCACAAAGAAATATATATATTTAACCTCACCCACATTTTTATTTTTTTAAGTTAGGACAAGACATAATCTTGATATTTTCAAATTCAGTTGCTCTGGTGGCAACTGAATAAAACATAGATAAAGAGAAAAAGCAAGACACATTTTAAGACCTGTATGAAGAATTCTGTGAATTCTGGAACAAATGAATAGATTTTATACTTATATTAGTATATTAAATATAATAATTAACCAGCTCCCTCTTCCTTTTAAATTTAGCCCAAGAGATCCACTGAGAGACCAATAAGAAAAGATAGTTCAAGTCTTAAGACAATTAACTAATGGATTCATGGCATGTGGGAAAACTATGAAAACATAAAATCAGGTCCAGAGTGAAGAATCAAAACTGGCAAAAAAACTATCAAGCAGTTGCTCCTATGAGAGGTTTACATTAAAAAAAAGAATATTAAGCAAGCCTCCACTGTGTAGAATTATTTCTTGGTGAAGATGGCTAATTTTGTGGGGAGGGAGATATCAAGCTATTGGAGCAGGAGTGGACATCTCAGATAATGCTCTAAACGTATTATTTTTCAAACCATTATTAGATGCAGATGATCTCTCCTGAAACCAGTCCAACAAAGTGCCTTAGATACTATTCCTAGCTAACACAGACAACCCCAAATCTTGTTCGCCAGAGATTCTGCAAACCACCTAATGGTCTCTAATAAATTCCTTTTTGCTTAAATTTCCTAGAGTGGCATGTCTAAAGTTTCTAACAAAAACTCTAGTAATGGCCTGTCCTTAATCATATTTTCTTCTTCAATCTACTTAAGTTTTTGGTCCCTATTAAGTCTTATAAAGTTCTGATTATATTTTTGAATAGTTTTAGCTGCACAACAAAAGGTAGATGGCAAGGAGGGTACATTTAGAAGAAAACTCCATGGTTAACTTTAACAAAGAATTGGAAAAGCCCTGACTGTTTCAATAAATCTGATGGAGAAGACAATTTAAAAAAAAAATTATCAGACTTTTTAGAGAAGTTTCAGGTTTACAGAAAAACTATACAGAAAGTAGAACACTCCCATATATGCCTCCCTCATAGTTTCTAATATTTTACTATTTTTTATTATTACTCTCTTGCATCAGGTTGGTATACTTATTATAACTGATGAATCAAAATCAATACATATAATTATTAACCAAGGTCCATAGCTTATGTTAGGGTTCACTCTTTGTGTTCTATGAATTTTGATAAAAGCATGTCATATATATCAATCATAGTATCATACAGAATAGTTTTACTGCCTTGAAATGCCCTGTTCTTCATCTCTCCCTCCCCTTAATTACTGGCAATCTCTAATCTTTTTACTATATTTATAGCTTGCCTTTTCCAGAATGTCATGTAATTGGAATCATGTAGTACATATGTTTTTCAGAATGGCTTCTCTCACTTAGCAATATACAATTAGACTCCTTCATTTCCTTCATGTCTTTTCATAGTTTGATAGTCCATTTCTTTTTTTTTGGTACCATGGATGGAACTCAGGGGTGCTTAACCATTGAGCCATACCCCCAGGGTCTCACTGAGTTGCTTGGGCCTCAATAAGTTGCTGAGGTAGGCTTTGAACTCCCAATCCACCCTACTCCCCCACCTCAAGGAAGATACGTGATTACAGGCGTGTGCCACTGTGTCCCACGATAATTTATTTCTTTTTACTGCTGAGTAATACTTGATTGTATAGGCTGCACCCATTTGCTTATCTATTCACTACTGAAGGATATCTTGGCTGCTTCCAATTGTTGACAATTATGAATAAAGCTAATATAAACATTCATATGCTGAGTTTTATTTGGATTTATGTTCTTAGCTCATTTGATGAATATCTAGGAGAACAATTGCTGGATCATGTGGTTTGTGTATGTTTAGCTCTGCAAGGAACTACAACATTTTCTAACAAAATGAATGCCATTTTATATTCCCAAAGTTATGAGGGTTCCTGCTTCTCTATATCCTTGCTGATATCTTGTTATTCTTAGTGTTTTGGATTTCAGCCATTCTAATATATATTAGCAATCTGATTCATTTCTTTCCACTCAGGATAATAAGACAAATTTTCTGATTTTAGTGTGTACTCTCTCCTAAATCTGTCATTTATTAAAAAGATAAGAAAAAATTCAGGAGGGTGAGAAATTTTCAGAAGATGTCAGCTTATGTTTACTGGATTAATTGTATCAATGAATAGAAGGCACCATATGTCTATGAAGAACATCATAAACTCACAAAGTATCACCTATATTATTTTTGGATTAGGACCAACACTTTCCTGTAAAGAAATATTCAGAAAATTCAACTCAGTTGAGGATGGGTTTGTAAATTCCTTTGATCAAAGGGGAGAATAAAATATAAGACTTCTGGAATGAGGGGGGCATACCACTGGCAGTTTCACTTCATGTCTTTCTCAATCTATGAGATTCTCTTCATTCTCACAACTAATAATGCCTCCCAAATTTAAAAAAAAAAAAAAAACCAAAACCACTTTGGTACCACAATATGATTTCTCTCCATCTTGTGCATGAGCTTTACAAGGTAAATCTACTGATTTTTCTCTTACTAAAATTTAAGTGCACTTTAACCACAATGGGCAGTAACTCTTTCCATGTGGCTAACTCTACCAAATGTAACTCTTGTCTAGAAAGTCTGCAGATTTTAAAGTAACATATTTATCATTGCATTCCAGTTGAATGAGGCTAGTGACTGCATACTTAAGAATACAAACTTTAAATTTCTCTCCTGAAGTGTGGATGTATGAGGTTCTAAAGGCAAAGAACCCAACCTTGAGTTTTTCTTCCAATAATAAGATATTTTCATGTGTTCTCAAAAATAAAGTAATCACAAAAACTCAAATGAGAGAACAATAAAAAGCAGTAGCTGGAATCTAAAAGTAAAGTATGTATGAACACATGTGTTTCTCTTTAATCTACTGTATTATCTAAAGAATTCGTTCATCTTTAATGAGTTATTAAGGTAATTTAGTTTCCTTCTAACTCAAATAAGAAGACCTATTAGAGATCCTAGAGTAAGATACTAGGCAACTTCTCTTTGAAGTTAGTTCCTCAAGATCTAAATTTCCTAAGTTAAACTAACAAGTCGCTAATAAACACATTTTTCATGATTGGTTTTACAAATTAGTATACTTCTACTATAAACCAGGGTTTTCCAGCTGCAGTACTATTGAAATTTGGCTGTAGTAATTCTTGGTCACAGGTGGTTATCTTGTGCTAATCATAACATGATTAGCAGCACTTGTTCTCTACACTTGGTCTCTAGTTGTCAATAGTACCCCTCTTATTATGACAACTAAAAATGTCCCCAGGCACTACCCAGTGTCCCCTTGTGAACAAAATCACTTCCTGTTAAGAATCACCACAATATACTTAAAGTTGTTCTCAGTATGCTAAATACCACCTGTTCTCCTAGTAATCTGCACATACTTAACTCTACTTAACTCAAGACATAGGATAGAAATTCTAAGCAGATACCAAGTCAAAATATTTTATGGAGGAAAAAGGATTGAGGTAAATACCACCTGTTCTCCTAGTAATCTGCACATACTTAACTCTACCAAGACATAGGATAGAAATTCTAAGTAGATACCAAGTCAAAATATTTTATGGAGGAAAAAGGATTGAGGGAGAAATTACTAGGCAATCTCAAATGTCTCTACTTCCCCAAAATTATAGAAGGAAGGTGAGATAATCACCAATAGAACAGGTTAATGAAAAAGGCCAGTTCACAAAGGACTCTTGCCAAAGCAGGAAGGAAAGACTGTAGGATACTGGGAGATCTAAGATCAACTGCTTGAGTCAGAAAAATCTGTCTTACTACTAACATCTTTCAGAGGACTAGATTTTCAAGGGAGGAATTCAATGTCTTTTCAATATTTGAAAGTCATATTACTTCCTGCAAATTCAGGGAAAAAAGAACACAAAATTCCTTAAGATCTAAATTTCCTATGTTAAACTAACAAGTCCTTAATAAACATCTTTCATGATTGATTTTACAAGTTAGTAGACACAAAAACCTTACTTTCTCTGGAATAAATAAACTTCATATTTATAATTAAATATAATCTTTCCTTTAATAATATGAAGTACTTCTGAAAGAATTATAATCATTTATCATATGAAGATTAAATAATATCAGATTTGTATAAAGTCTGTATAAGGTTTACTACTTTCAAAATGTACACAAATGAAGAAAACTTACATTTTTTGGCATTCCTTTCTTTCTCCCAACATGGGATCCCCCATTTCTCCAAGAATGGTAGCTTCCACTTCATATTGAACAATGAGTGCTTTTTCTGATGGATGTACATCAATATTCCCTCCTTTAACTTTCCTATAACACAAAATTAAAAAGAGCCACATTAAAAACTCATAAAATGTCCATGGTTTTTAACTTAGCTTCTCTTCTAAACTCCATGGACTGGATTAGCATATGCCTTTGAATCAGATTTACTCTGAACCTGGGACAAGAAATAACTCCTTTTCTACAACTTTATACCATATATATAATTTCAAGTCCTGGAGAAAGTACCTTTATGAATAGTGCTACCTTAGAAAAAATATATTTACCCAAAGAATCATGCATTAAAGCAAGTGAATGAAACACAAACAATTAAGATAGCCTTAGAGAGAATGATCTCATCTGAAAGCTAGCTCTTTCCCACCAAAGATAGCTGCATCTAAATTTATATTTTTTATTATTCAAAACATTACAATGCTCTTGACATATCATATTTCATACATTTGATTCAAGTGGGTTATGAACTCCCATTTTTACCACGTGTACAGTTTGCAGAATCACATTGGTTACACATCCACGTTTATACATACTGCCACACTAGTGTCTGTTGTATTTTGCTGCCTTTCCTATTTTAAAAAATTAACTACTGTACATTGAAGCTTACAGTCTAGTTAGATCAGCAATTAATGTGATAGTAAGATATACAGAAGGAAAAAGTTTGTAAGGAATGAAAGCAGTCAGAAACCAGCAAAAATCAAGGAATTAGGAAATCAGATATAGACATAAATTTAAAAGGATGGTACAAATTCTAAAAGATAATGAACAGAAGTTCAAGCTAGGGATTCATGATGCTGTATTTATATATGTACACAGGAAAGTGCCTGTTTAGATATGGCTATGCATTATGTCTGCATGCAACCTATGACAAGTGCACTTCTGTTGTGGATTGCTGATTTAGTAAGAAAACTGTTTTTATCATAATGATGTGCATCAAAATTTATGTTTGTAATATCACTATGTGGTAGTTTTATCTTAAATGCTTAACTTGCAAACTTAATTTAATTTAATATAGCATTTATAATAATGTTGAATGTTTACTGACACAATTTCAAAAGGCTTTACTTGGATGCCATCAATTAGGTGAAAAAATTTAAGCTATTTTTGGAATAAAATGATATTCTACTTGAAAAGCATCATGATTGATATCAAACTGATATCTTTAAATTGCAAATTTCTTCTAGTTTTCAATACTTTTGCTTCATTTTGTTTTTATATGCTAAACTATTTTACAAAAAGTTCATACTTTTTATGTCATTGAAAAGTCATGCATCACAAAGTAAATAAAAAATACACCTTCTATAACTGCAATGATAAATTGTCACCTTTGGGTAGTGTAATTTTGTTTGTTTGTTTTTTTACAATAGTGGGATTGAACCCAGGGCCTCACACATGCTAGGCAAGAGCATTACCACTGGGCTACATGCCCTTTCCTTAAGCATAGTATTCTTAATTACTGACTTGTGAAGTGCACCCTTGTTTCTAGATTTCATGTGATATTATGATGACCGCTAACATACATAATAAATGGTGATAACTAGTGTCACGTTCATTATCATTTTTCCTGAGAAACAATAATGTGGTTCTTAATTTTTTAATACATAGGTACTTTTAAAAAAAATGTTGCTGTCAAAAGAATTTATTGCAAAATAAAGTTGGACCAAATAATAAGAAAAACAAACAGTTATATATTTACAACTATGCAACAAATCACAAAGCCAATGTAGAACGTGTTCAAACTACTCTCTATGTGTTCTATGGCAGGATTGTTCAGCATCTACTTTCTATATATTTTTCACAAATAACCCAACATATAATCATCCAGTTCCTACCAAGGGGCTTCATAGCATCTTCCTGCACTTTGCCATACCCATAGCATGGCACAATAGGCTACTTAAAGAGAAACTCTATCATCTGCTCATATGTCCAACACAGTGTTAGACAAGACAATGGCAGAAGCTGAAAATACAAAGTGGAAATCTACCAAATTCATCCCAGCTTATTTTAGTGAAATGCCTGGTGATATCTCATTTTAAAAAATAACAGCCTGGTGTGATTGGAACGTGCCTGTAATCCTAAGGACTTGGGAAGCTGAAGCAAGAGAATTGCAAGTTCAAGACCAGCCTCAGCAAATTAGCGAGGCCCTAAGCAACTTTGCAAGACTCTGCCTCAAAATAAAAAAAAATTAAAAGGGCTGGGGATATGAGTCAGTGGTTAATAACTCCTGGGTTCAATCCTCAGTACCAAAAAATAAATAAATAAAAATGAAAAAATAAATTGGGAGAAATGCTAAAATTGATAGCACAGGGGAGCAATAAATGTCTAGGGCAAAGCAGCAAAAAATGATGAGAGAGCCTAATCAAATCTGATTCTTTTATTGTCTCTCCAAAGCTACTCTCCAGGAATTATTTGTTCATTCCCATCCACAAATAAATACAATAAAATGTCTCAAGTTAGAAACCAAAAGGAAAAAAAGCCCCTCATTAACACTTTTTATTGCTACCTTCAAAACTCCTTTGGCAGAGTCATAGTAACAAAAACTGCATGGTATTGGCATAAAAACAGATACATAGACCAATGGTACAGAACAGAAGACACAGAGACAAACTGACACAGAAACAGTCATCACATTCTTTCAAAGGTGCCAAAAACATACATTACATTTGAGTAAAGACAGCTTTTTAACAAATGGTGCTGGGAAAACTGATATAATCCATATGTAGAAGAATGAGACTATATACCCTTCTCTCTGACTCTGCAGTAAAGTGAACTCAAAAATGGATCAGAGACCCAGAAAACTATGCAGAAACCAGAAACTATGCAATTTTTAGAAGAAAACATAAGGCCAACACTCCAACATGTAGGCACAGGCAACAACTTTCTCAACAGAACTCCTAAAGCTTAGGAAATAATGTCAAGAGTTAATAAATGGGATGCATCAGATTATAAAACTTCTGCACAGCAAAGGAAACAATTAAGAAGGTCAAGAGAGCAATATTATTCAGCAATAAAAGAGAATAAAATCATGGCATTTACAGATAAATGAATGGAGGTAGAGAAGATAATGCTAAATGAAATTAGCTAATCCCCCCAAAACAAATGCTGAATGTTTTCCCTGATATAAGGAGGCTGATTCATAGTGCGGTAGGGATGGGGAGTGTGGGAGGAATAGACGAACTCTAGATAGGGCAGAGGGGTGGGGGGGAAGGGAGGGGGCATGGGGTTAGAAATGATGGTGGAATGTGATGGACATTATTATCCAAAGTGCATATATAAAGACATGAATTGGTGTGAATATACTTTGTGTACAACCAGAGATATGAAAAATTGTGCTCTATATGTGTAATAAGAATTGTAATGCATTCTGCTGTCATATATAAATTTAAAAATTAATATAAAAAAGAAGGTAAAGAGAACCTATAGAATGGGAGAAAATCTTTGTTAGCTACTCTTTTGACACAGGATTAATATCCAAAATATATAAAGAATTCAAAAAACTTAATACATGAACAAAAACCAAATAACACAGACACTTCTCATAGGAAATACAAATGACCAACAAATACATGAAAAAATGCTCAACATCATTAGCAACTATGGAGATGCAAATCAAAACTACACTGAGATTTTATCCCACTCCAATCAGAATGGCAGCCATCAAGAATACAAACAATGGGGGCTGGGGTTGTGGCTCAGCAGTAGAGCCTAGCATCTGCGAGGTGCTGGGTTCGATCCTACACTATATAAAAATAAAAACAAATAAGAATAAAGGTATTGTGCCCAACTAAAAAATAAAAATAAAAAAAGAATACAAACAATTGACGAATGCCGGAGACGATGTGGAGAAGAAGGAACATATATTGTTGGTGGGATTGTAAATTATTTTTTCAAATAATCTTTTGGATTATTTAGGGTTTCTAAAATTCCATTTTAATTTTTCTACTGGATGTTTTAGCTATGCATTTTAAGTTGTTTTTATTTTATTTTATTTTGAATTTTTAATAATTATTTTTTAGTTTTCGGTGGACACAACATCTTTGTTTGCATGTGGTGCTGAGGATCAAATGCCAAGCGAGCGCGCTACCGCTTGAGCCACATCCCCAGCCCTTAAGTTGTTTTTAGTGGTTACTGTAGGCAAAACAATACTTTGGTTAACTCTTTTTCCACAGGATACTTAAGAATTAATATTGTACTCCTTCACAAAATTGTAGGTGTATTGCCTGCCCCCACCTTAATAGTATAGTTGTCACATGCATTACATCTACATAGATTATAAGCCTACACATAAGTTTTATAATTTCTGCTTATAATTCTGACATATTTTAGAGTTTAAGAGGGCAAATAAGCTTTTATATTTACACAAACATTTATAATTTCTGATGCTTTTCATATGGGTAACATCAAAATAATTTTATATTTCTATTACTAATATAAAACTTAGTAATGGAGGTTGAGAGGATTAGTAGCTTAAATCAATGCTCCTTTTAAGAAAATCTAAAACGCTGAAAACAATAATGTATGTGTGTGTGTGTGTGTGTGTACCTGTTTGAAGTCACACTAATAAGGCAGGAAAAAAATGACCATGCCAAGTTCCAAAATAAAATGAAAATGAAGAGAGGTAACTTTGAATGTGAGGCTGCTTTTCCCTAGAGGTGTTTATTAATTGAAAAGACATAACTGAGAGGCTTAGAATCTTTTATTAGGGACACAAAAATTGTAGTACAGGCTGCATCAAACAGCAGTGGCACTGTTAAAGCTCCAAACTCTGAGTGGAAAACAGGAGGACTGCTTCCCAGGAGTAATTGTGAAACAGATGCAGACTGGGCCCCAATAAGATTAAAAGCCTATCTTGATATATTTGAATTCCTGAGAACTAATTAATGTAACCCTGGATTTTCAGTACCACTTATTACATATTATTAAAAAAATATTCCTCTGAAGACAGAGAAATCATCCTAGTTCTCAAGTAATTTCTTTTCTTTCTTTCTTTTTAGTTTGCTTTTAAAGATGAGGTCTTGCTCTGATGAATAGGCTGG